TTCCGTCCCCGGAGATGTCCACTTGGGCCATTATTCGCTCCAGCTCCAAATCAGGAAGGTGGGTGCCCTTGCGCTGCAGGGCCTAATTAGGCAAAGGTGAAGGTAAACAGGGCGGGGGGAAGCACTTGCTTACCGCCATGTCGTACATCAGCGAGAAGGGAATAAAGGAATGGGCCCTTGGCGGGGGAAGGGGCGGGAGGAGAAAGGACGGGGGATAAAGATTGGGTGTTGAAGGTGGGCGGCATATTGCCGTATCGTAGTCCGTACATACATACATACATACATACATACATACACACATACATACATTATACGGCAGGCGGCTGGCAGAGGTTAAGGCCTGACTTCTGCTCCCGGCCGATCCGGGTTCAAATCCGCCTGCCGGCTCCTCGGGTGTTTGAGGAGTGTTGAAATAGGAGGTGGCCCCCCATCATATGGACGATGTAGGACGTGATAAAATCAACTTGCGAGCTGACCAGGAACTAAGTTGATGCGCCGTTGATCCGCTAGATTTGGTTGGATGCTGGTGGTGAGTTGCCGAACCCAACGAATACATTCTGAAGTCGGATGGGGTGACGGATTAGGGTGCCCCTCTAGCAGGGGAGAGCAGGGACTGCCCCGGGAAAGGGGGCCGCTGGCGAAGTTAACCACTCTGTAACAACATACATACGCGTTCATACGGCTCGTCCCCACCACCCCCTCCCTCTGGAATACCTTTTGGTAGTTCCCCCTCCCCCCCATTGCCAAACACCCCACGCACCTGTCGTAACTCCTGTACGGTAATGTTCCCCGAGCCATCCGAATCCATTTCCCGAAATAAGGCCCTCAAGCCCATCACCTCGGGCTCAGGCAGGTTGGTGGCGATGACCTGCGGTGGGCCCAGGGGAGTTGAAGTGGAGGGGAGGGGTTGCGTGGATGAGGGTTTTTGAGGTGGTTGGGACGGTTGAAGGAAAAAACTAATTATTGTCATTTGATACACAGAATCACACATATACACACCGCACCCACCTTCAACGCCTCCTGTTGCAGCTTGTTCAGTGCTCCAAAGTTTTGCAGCCTCCGCAGCACCTCGTTGTCTATGGGGGACGCATCTGCCGTACCGTCCTCTCGTACCCATTCGTGCTCCAGAACCTCCGAGGCGGTGGCCCGGAGGGCGGGGTTGCGCTCCTGCGTTCGTGTGCACATGTATGTATGTACGTGTGTATGTACGTATGTTACGTATATTGGCGGCTAGGGCCGGGGCATGGGGGGTGGGGAAGGACTTGACCGGGTTAGGAAAGATGTTCGCGGACTGAGGTTGGTGGCTGGGGTGATGGTGGGGGGTAAGGGTGAAAGCGATAGAAAACAAAAACAACGCACATACACATATACATACACACACACGCACACACATACATACACACACACACGCACACACATACATACACACACACGCACACACATACATACACACATACATACACACACATACACACATACATACACATACATACACACACACATACACACATACATACACACACATACATACACACACATACACACATACATACACACGCACCAGCATTTTCCGAATGACGTCCTTGGCGCCCTCCGACACATGGCTCCAGGGCTCCCCTTCGAAGAGCACTTCCCGGCTGAGAATGGCGGAAAAAATCTCCCGCTCCTTCGCATGTATGTATGTTGTATGTATGTATGTACATACGCATGTGTGTACGTGTACGTGTGTATTGGGGGTGACAGGGGGAGGTTGGGGCACCCCATTAGATGGAGGGAATGTGCCGATGACGGAAGCAGGAGGGAGGAGGGGAAGAGGGGAGGAGGGAGGGGGGAGGAGAAAAACGTCTTGAAAACTGGACCATCGATGTAGTCCGGGGGGGGGTCCTTACCCACCCCCCCTCACCCCATTCCACCCCCTCGGCCCCCACTACCCC